TGTGTGTCTGAATACGACCCCTGGAACAATGTCGTATGGGCAAATGAATCAAAAGTGAAACTTTCTGGTAGACTTTGCTAGATTTGGGCCTGCACAGTTAGGTCAAAGTTTTTAATTTACATGATCAAAGTCCAAACTTACTGTAGTCCCAGTGAAATGCTGTGGCAGGACCAGAAATGGGCAAAGACGTTTCCACAGCACTGTACATTAATATATTACATATTTTTTTCTTCTGATTGCTTTTGACTTTTTCAACTGCCAACAAATTTACCCATGAATAATATCAGCAAAAATGTGCTCTTTCTGTTAACCTTTTCTTAATTTGTTTACAGCAAAACCACAGGAAGTAGAAGTGGTGTTGGAACACGATTCTGAGTCCGATTCCAAGCAAGCACCATCGCAGGAGGCCAAAGAGACTCAGTCCGGGCTGGATCTGGAGGAGGTGGTGCAGGAGTCTTCAGAAGACTGGCAGTGCCCCATCCCCACAGTCTTTCCATAAACACCTGACAGCAGCACACATTCAGCTCGATTTGACTTCCATAACATTTGCTTAATTTTTATATTCGCAATGCCAATTACTATCTTTTTATTCTTGCCTGCAAGTGTGACTTACATTGCACAAATCACACATTTATTTATGTGAACGTACATGATTTTGTATACTTCTTGTTACATTAGAAAACCAGTCAAGACAGAACTTACTTTTGTGTTTAAAAGTTTAATTTTTTAAAGGTTTTTTTTTTTTTTTCATTACTTACATAATAATTTGGAGCCATATTTGTCACTACTAAAGTAGAGATTGTAACTGTGTATTGGAATGGACATTCTGTAGTTTTCAGTTGTATCCTTACCCGTGGTAAAAGTAAAACTATTTAGCACAGACAGCACTGTCTGACATTGTCAGTATGTTAAAATATTGTATAATTACATGTAATATACTAGAGCTGTAGAACTGTTTATTTGATTTAATCCTTGATATATCACTTAAATCAGTTTTATAGGAATAATCCGATTTGGGCAAACATTTTTGTAATATGTAAAAATATTTAAGAATAAATGTAGTTTTTTTATGTTTATCCTTTCTCACTTTCATTCACTTATTATTTTTGTTTTTCTGCAGCTTTATTCTAGGCTTTTAATATGTTTATATTAATAAATAGGTTTTATATATGGGTTTATTTATGGATTAAGTGGGACAGCATGGAGTAGTTTAGAATTTAAATGAAATCTGAAACACTGAATACATATTTTGGTATTTGTTGATTTTATATGTGCACTTAGTAGCTCTGTGGTTTCTTTCACACTTCTTTATAGGAAATCTATATATTCTGGATGAATTGTTATAGCTTTCATTCCTGATTGAAAGCTCCTGACACAGAGACATCCATGTTTAACTTCTTTAAATGCTTTTCTTCCTTTTTTTCCCCCCTAAAAGTGTGGAGTAAATATGCATGACTATTCAGTCTCGTATGAACCTAAATGGATTCAAAATTGAATGTCCTATTGATCAGTGAGTGATGACTATTTTTTCGATCACTGCATCAATACTTCTGCAGTGGTTATCAAGCAGTTATTGAGTGATGGTACAAAAAGAAGGCAACTACTGTAGACACCCTGTAAAACATATACAAAAAAAAAAAACATGTTCGCTACTGTTGAATTGTAGCATAAGCAGTTTAAAGGGGTCATATGACGTTGCTAAAAATAACATTATTTTGTGTATTTGGTGTAATTCAATGTGTTTATGCGGGTTAAGGTTCAAAAAACATTATTTTCCACATAATGTACATTATTGTTGCTCCTCTATGCCCTGCCTTTCTGAAACGCGTCGATTTTTACAAAGCCCATCGTTCTGAAAAGCGAGGTGTACGCTGATTGGCCAGCTATCCAGTGTGTTGTGATTGGCCGAATGCCTCAAGCGTGTAACGGAAATGTAACGCCCCTTACCATATTGTGATGCCGTCAGGCCAGAGCAACGAGACAAAAACATTAAAACTCATTATAAACGAGGCATTTGTTGCATCCAGTGGGGACATAATTACTGGTTATAATGACTTATACTGTCTTTTTACGCGTTGCGTTGCGTATCGCACCGCGTAAACATAAAACCATGTCTGCATTTGTGATCGGAGAAATGACAAACAACAAGCGCTACTCTACACTGCTTAAAACTCACGTTTGAATCATCAGTGGCAAATCCTTTAAATATGAAAACGTACTTACAGACTGTGAGTCAGAAGCGCCAGACTGTCCTTGCAAAGTTGGAATTGCCCCACTTTATAGAAACAGACACCAGCATTGTAGGCTACTCTCACAGGAAACAGTCCTCCGTAAAATGCGCTGCACACATCTGAATGTTTGGGTTGAACTGTTCTGGAACAGTGTTGTAAATACAACTTAACCACTGATTTCTAGTTGTGTCCTCTTTTGGAAGGCCAAACAAAGTAGTTAAGCTTTCACAACTAAACACACAGTGTCTCCACAACATGGCGGCGGCAGCAACAGCGAGAAGTTATGCCTTCTTTCTTTGCGTGAACATTTGGGCGGCGTTATGCAAATCTTCCCACATTGTGATGTAGACATGTGGGGGCGTGTTAGAACAAGCCGTTTTAGGTAGGCGTGGTTAACTTAACTTTTATAAAGACCCCCCTCTTTGGATTTGAGACTTTAGTCTTTGCAACTTTACAGATCTTTTTTATGCACCAAGAGCTTTTAACACTCTAAAGAGAAAGGAAAAATTGAAATTGCATCATATGACCCTTTAAAACTAATTATAATTGGGTTATTACTTTATATTGGTAGCATCAAATAGCAAGTCCAAAGTGCGAGGTACAAAGTGTCATTTGACTTTAACATGGCAACTGTGTAAAAATCTAACTAAAATTAATTTATACTGAACTAAAACAACAAACCCAGCATCCTCATTTAAAGTGCCCCTATGGGTAATAAAAGGTTCATATTTTGGTTTTGGGAGTCCCCAACAACAGGTTGACATGCATTCAAGGTAAAAAAAAACAGTTTCATTGTCTTATAATAGGGCTGTCCAAACTCGGTCCTGGAGGGCCGGTGTCCTGCAGAGTTTAGCTCCAAATTGCCTCAACACACCTGACTGGACGTTTCTATGCCTAGTAAGAGCTTGATTAGCTGGTTCATGTGTGTTTAATTAGGGTTGGAGCTAAACTCTGCAGGACACCAGCCCTCCAGGACCAAGTTTGGACAGCCCTGTCTTATACTATGCATTTCTTTTTACCTTACTTGCTCAACGACTCCCAAACGATTCGCTCAACGATTCATTTTTCCAAACCAAACAGCATTACCGGGGAAACCGCTATTTTACCGCTCCAAAAGCGGCTCCTAGTAGCAAAGAATGAATTTGCATTTTCATTCAGACCAACAAGTGGGCGGGCAATATGCTAATGTTTCATGTTGACGTCAACATGAAACGGTTTGGGATTCGTTTTAAAAACGACTCGTTTCAATGATTCAGAACATGATTCGACTCTTTCTTTTGAGAGACAATAACTTTATACACGGTGCACTTTCAGATTTAAAACTTTGCAGGATGTTTTCATTCACTTAGAGCTGTGTTACACACTGCATGAAAGGTAATTTTTAAAAATCCATAATAGGGGCACTTTAAGAAGTCCACTACGTGCCATGAGTGGATTCTTACTTGCATCTCATTTTGTAACATTTGCTAAACTGATTCTAAATAGCTACAATGTTAAATAGCCATAAAAAGAACCACAAAAAAGTTGAACACTTTTAATTGTTGCCATTAATTAGGTGTAACAAACACAGAAGACATCAAATATTATTTAGTTTAAATAAGAACCCTTTTTCCAGTTGTTTTTGTATGAATAGAAAATGAAGTCTCAAACTATGATGAGCAAAGGGCACAGAATCATATTCAAACTATGTGCAGTAATCTATGGTTACCAAATTCGTTAGAAATCTCCGGAACCAAACACACATTTAAAAAACTGTTTGTGGTTGGAAGTAAAATATACATTATGGATGTCAGAACATAAGTTATGCATTTTGGCATGAAGACCACCTCCTTGCAGACCCCATCACACTATACAGAGAAGACTGTTCATCAACATGTAAAAGGTGTAGAAAACACATTTGAGGTCTAAGGTACACAATATGCTAAGAGAGGTACTGGTTACACTTAAGCTGTGTAAAGGTGAGTATTGACACTACAGAGACAAGACAAAACCTTTTCAAAAAGATCAAAGATTATACACAACTATGTCAATACAAGTTTGACAAGACTGAACAGGAATAATTCAGAAGACACAGATTGTGTTGTAACGTATCAATGCAAAAGCTTTTTCAAGTCAATGTTACTGTATTAGAAAACAACATTTTAAAAAATAACTTTTTTGCATTTGTTTTCCATCCTTTTCCTCTTTATTTTTAAATGGGAAAAGGTAATGAGGTTTCAACGCTTGGTAGTTGAAGCAGGCTGGCTTCCTCCCTGAAAAAGAGACAATAAATACAAACTTAAATTGACTAATGATGTTACATGTTCATTACTGATGAAAAAAGAAATCTTGCTACCAATTTGAAGATCCGGGTTAAGGTGTCTCCACGTCCCTTTTGGCCTTTGGTGGAGCTCTGTGATTTCTGGTCTCTCTGTTAATAAACCAGATAGTTTTGTCGTGGATACTGGGGTTTTTCATATCTCCAGAATTTGGAGAAAATCATTTTGGCAGTATAGAAGAAGTGAGTTATAGAGTTATTCAGTGAGCTATAAAACAAAACAACAGCTCCTGACATAAAGCAAATTAATGATAATGAAAAATTACAGCTGAATTCAAAGTAACAAAGCTACTGGTTACTAATAAAATGCTAAAATATATAGCCAACTATGTATGGGACTGGGGTAGTGGAAATTTGCTGTTTCCATGATAATGAAATAAAATAAAAATGTGAATTAAAATCAAATATATATATATATATATATATATATATATATATATATATATATATATCACCTAAAGCATAATGTTAACAAACTTCTTGAAAGGGAACAGCTGTCAAACTCAGAAGATTGAGACTTACCCTAGATTTGGGGGTAGAGGGAGAAACCTAATTGGGGGGAAAAGCAAAACGCAATGAAAATCATCCATAAAAGAATATTCATTCTATCTTTCAATGGTGTGGTGTGAGAGACAGGGAAAAAGGAAGAAAGAGAGATACGAACAATGGTTCTGAAAAAGTGCACAACAGCATTCTCATCTGGACGGCGACGAGGAGATGCGCTCGATCTTTGAGGTGATGCAGACAAACCACCACGAAAAGATCCCTGTGTTGAAGAGATGACATTTTGATCATTAAACATTCCATCACAACAGTATCTTCAGACTAAAATGTTTGGTCCAAACTTTCAAAGACAGTAGGAAAGTGCACTCTAAAAAATGCTGGGTTAAAACAACCCAATAGCTGGGTTTGTCCCTTTTTAACCCAGCGCTGGGTTATATTTAACCCAGCATTTTTTAGAGTGTGGGAACAATGAATAGGGAAAATACTTCCAAAGCTGATGAAAAAGTGTGCCAACTGTATTATGAATACTGTACTTTTTTTTGACATACTTTTACATTTCGCCTACTGTTTTTTTTATGTAGTAGGGAAGATTGCATATTCAAATACATCCTTCACGCCCCTCCCTCTTTATTTCATAACTGTATTAGTGTCTGCATATATCAATGGTTCAAGTTTCCATTACTAGCTCTTTTATTATGCAACAGAGGCTTGGAATAAGAAGCGTAACAAATTAGTGCTACACATAAGAGTGTTTTAAGGACAAAAACCTGACAAATGTCTTAAAAAAAAATAAAAAAATAAAAATATAATAATATATATATATATATATATATATATACAGTATAGTATAACAGTAAAATTCTACCATTCTCTATTGATTTGCCGCATTTGATCCCGAAGGAAGTTGGATGAGAAGTGACACTATAAATCTTGGAAATACGGATGTGCCTGAAGCCAAATGGGTCATTCTTCATTTATGGTGGCAAGGGATGACCCCCCTACTTGAAATAATCTTTAAATACCAATAAATCATCAAATGTTTGCATATTTGTATTCTGTGGGTGAAAACTATTTGTGCATTAATAATAGTGACAATGTTTTAAAATACATATTTGAGTTTAAGAGGTTTAATGTGTAACAAAATCTGCATGTTCCCACCATAGATCAAAAAGGTAAAAAAGGATGTAATTGCAGCAACATTTTTAGCACAAATAAAAATTATGTTGCAAATAGGCCTATTGATTTTATTTAACATCTGGATTTGTGCTAATTTGTCTGTGGTGTTACTGTCTCCACTGGGGGGAAATAGTGGTAAGTAACATAAGTAACAGGTATTTGATTAAAAGGAATTCAAATCAAAATGTCCTAAACCTTTACTGAATATAGAAAAGTATACTAAATGTAAACAGGTATTTTAAATGTAAAAAGGTAATTTTATCTAAAGAAAGAAGAAAAAAAAAGAACAAGCATTTTTATAAAACCTGCCTCTCGTTTACCAAAATTGAAAAATGACCCACATACCTTATCCGGAAAAGCATGGGTAATGTGTGTGAAGAATGAAGAATTATGAAGAATTCTTAACAATATAAAAACAGTTCAGATGATTCGGTGAGAAAGCGGTTCGAATGAGTGCGAACTGATTCAGATGGCTTTGCAACTGTTCAGCCAATTCACTGAAAAGAAAGAACTGACTCAAGGATGGTTAAGTCATGAATGATTGGCAATTACTGGTTTAGTGGTCAGGAATACAGGACACACATATTAACTGCTGAACTGTTTGCAGGGAAAACATTTCTCAGGTCAGTCTTACACTGGGAAAAATATTTATTTGATCCCCTGCTGATTTTGTTAGTTTGCCCACTTACAAAGAAATGAAGGGTCTGTAATTTTTATGGTAGGTTTATTTTAACAGACAGAATATCAACCAAGACAGAAATATAATATACATGTTTAAGCCAAGTAATTTTGTACTATATTATAAAGAACATCTTAAGGCCTGTTCAAACCAACACAAGTATTCACAAACGACACCAAACACCAAACCCGCGTAGTAAAACAGTAGGTAAAAAGTACCCAGATTAATTCAGAAGTGTGCAACTGATGGACACTATACTATCGCATGAGCCCACGGGAGAGTATTTGTGAATGGCAGTGAAGCTGTAGATCACAGCAAGGCAGATGGAGTACATCCAAATTTCATTCATACTGAATACTGACATTTTTAATATTCGCAAGTTTCAAACCAAATGTAGTACCTACTATACAGTATCCTATTTTGGACACAGCAACAGGGACAAGATAACTGGTCCCAGATTTTTCCTCTGCTATTCACTATCTCTAACCACAGATCTATTGTCAGATCTATTGTCTGTCCATGAGACATGGTTTTATGTACTGTATGCTTTTAACAGCAGTGGCTCTGGGCATATGACCAAACACATGAAACCTACTGGTTGGCCAGTTTTCTTCACAGTGCGATGGAAAAGAGATTTAAAAACGAACTGTCACATTGACCAATGCTCATGTTGGTCTGAACAGATGCATTAATAGACATTGGTGTGAACATGCCTTTGTATCCATCCATGCCCCAAAATGCTTATTCTCTGTAGGGTCAATGAATGCTGAAGCCTATTCCAGCGACTCGGGCCACAGGTGGGGAACAACCCATAGGGCTCACATACACACATCTACAGACAATTTGGATTGTGGGGAAAATCCGAGCACCTGAAAGAAACCTTTGCCAACATGGTCAGAATAAGGCCTACTGGCTCAGCTGGGACTCAAACCAGGGACCTTCTTGTTTTGAGGCAACAGTGCAACCCACGTTATATAAACATTTTGAATGCAGTTCTGAAAAACACTACACATAAATGGTGAATGGCATTTACACTCATATTAGTCTCTGTCTGACTCGATCACTCATAGTCAGCTTGATCCAGATTGCATCCTGTGGCCTATAGCACGAAGCCAGTTTCAGGTTTTACCCAGGTAAGCTCGCGTTTAGTTTGAGCAAACTCTGAGTTTTCGTGCGGGTTTCGTCACCATGGTAACTTACGCTACACAGCTACCCTGCTCCGGAGCAGGTTTTATTCTGGGTTAGAGATCGCAAACCCAAGCTCGACCAATCAGCTGTGAGCAAAGTGACATATATCTGATGCAATGAAGCCACTCCCCTATATCGCTAGCTCCAAATTAAAGCAGTTAGAATTTTAGAGACAAAAGTGCCCGAATTTTGCGGCTACTTATTTATTACATTTGTTATATTAATTATAATTGTTTATAATTAGTATAATTAATTCATATAATTATTATATGAAGTGGCAATTTTAAGCTTTGCATTTAAATTAAATTAAATAGTTACATATAGATAAGCTTTAATATATCCAACTTTTAAAATGACTAAACTTATGTTTTCCTTTTGAGCTCTGTGCGAAACAATGTAAATAATTTAATTCAGTTTATTCTTTTGCATAGTCATATATTTTCTTTCTGCTGCCTTCTCAAACTTTTGCTTCAGCAGAAGTGTTTATTCCTGCCTTGTAAATGCATTTAAATTTATTTTTAAAGGAACACTCCACTATTTTTGAAAATAGGCTCATTTTCCAACTCTCCAACTTAACTAGAGTTAAACAGTTGAGTTTTACCGTTTTCGAATCCGTTCAGCTGATCTCCGGGTCTGGCAGTAGCACTTTTAGCTGTAGCTTAGCATAGATCATTGAATCTGATTAGACCGTTAGCATCTCGCTCAAAAATGACCAAAGAGTTTCTATATTTTTCCTTTTTAAAACTTGACTCTTCTGTAGTTACATCGTGTACTAAGACCGACGGAAAATGAAAAGTTGCGATTTTCTAGGCTGATATGGCTAGGAACTATACTCTCATTCCGGCGTAATAATCAAGGAACTTTGCTGCCGTACCATGGGATATTACGCAGCGCCTGAACATAGTCCCCAGCTAGGTAACTTCCAATAAGTCTATTTTCAGGCGCTGCGTAATATCATTGCACCTGCTGCACCCATGGTACGGCAGCAAAGTTCCTTGATTATTACGTCGGAATGAGAGTCTAATCAGCCTAGAAAATCGCAACTTTTTATTTTCCGTCGGTCTTAGTACACGATGTAACTACAGAAGAGTCAAGTTTTAAATAGGAAAAATATAGAAACTCTTTGGTCATTTTTGAG